CACATCTCAAACACTTGCTAGTTTCAAGCACTCATGTAATCATTTGTCTACTAATTAATCCAATGCTCTGGATGGAATTGCTCCTGTTGCCATTCCTTCCTGTTGGCATTCTTCCTGATGAACTGCTCTTTATCATGTGCCGCATAGTCCTTCATCCCACATACCTTGCGAATCAGCTGCTGGTACCTTAGTTGAAAACAACAAGTCCAATCATCATGCAACTTAATTAGAATTTTGCTTCATGAACTGTCATTTCATTAGTTACTCAAAGCTGCTGGGCCTGCAGCTTTGCATCCAGCAATGCTGCACGAATTGCCAAATCCCATTCTGCCTCATAGTAATCCCCTTGGCTGGAATGAATAAAGCCAATCATGTGTTGCCATGCTGGTTGCAATGGTTGCCCTGCTGCATTGCCTGCTGATAATTAGCATTGCCTAATGAAACTAATGCTGGCAAGGTTCTGCTCATCCCTGGTGCAAATGTAGGGCGCAATCCCTGGATCATGCCCACCAATATGGCAGAATCCCCCATCTGATCATCATACCTGAGCCCAGTAATTAACTGAGTAACAGCTGATGACATCTGACTAACTAGTTCCTTATCACCTCATGTGCTCATCATCATGCTTCATGTAATTATCTTGCATCAGCCAAGAGGCTCTCTGAGCACCTGTGCCACATGCCTTTGCAAATCATGGAAGCCTCCATAGGCGATGTCCATGCCTGAAGTTCATCAAGAATTTAAAGCATTCACACACTATACACCCGGTTCAAGCAAACTCCATGCCATGAATCATTAATCTGATTGCTGACACAGGCACGCTTCTCCATGAACCCTGCTTTCCTTGCACATGTCCAGGCTGAGTTGCTGATGTTGCATGCCTGAGCAGTGAACAATGTTCATCAATGTTCATGTGACTACCTGCATGCCATTGCAAAACAAATACATTTGCATAATTACTTAACTAATTAATGACTCCAAGTTGCATGATCCACAAACTGATGCATCTTCCACAATGCATACAGCATGAAGCAGTACATCACCTGATTTGTGTGCACCCTCCACCCCTGCTAATTTCCCTGCATTGCCATGCCCCATGTGGCCAAGGCACTCCCTGATTGATCAACTGATGGTGCTCCATGTCAATCCCCTGGCCTCAGTCATGATAGTTAACAATTGTCAGTGATGAGCAATTGTCAATTTGTCCCCCATGAATTGATTCAAGCTACTGCCACTGCAATGATGGCAACCAGGCATGCCATCACCTTCTTCATGCTCATGGCCATGCTAATGGGCTCCAAATACAAACTGATTCCAAGCTCTGATGGTGCAAAAGGCTGCTGATGATTGAATGGCTCATGCACATGCTGGATGCACATGATGCCAAGTGAATCCATGCTCACTGCCCCCATGCCACTCATGACAGCGCATGCACCTTCATGTTTTCCAACCCAATCCTGATGCCAACTGCTAAGAACACTGGGTTGCAGCTACTCATTGCTTACTCATCTTTCTTTTCCTCATCCTTCCCTTCTCCAATTGGCTTCTTTGCCTCATCATCCTTCTTTGGATGCAGCACCTGATGAAGATCTGATCCTAGCAGGGCTTGGCCAGGGCTGAAAGGGAATGGTGCTGGCACCACCAACCCACCACCACCCACCACACACCACCCACCACACACCACCCACCACACACCACCCACCACACACCACCCACCACACACCACCATAACCCTTTTTCTGTCATACACTTGCCATGTCCATTGCACTGAGCCTAACTAATCTACAAACCTGATCTCATGAGGATGCTGAGGGAATGTACAGGATGTTGTGGTTGATGCATCTGAATTTAATCCTGAGCCTGATGGTGCTGAGTCTGATCTGAGCCTGATGATGCAAGTTCTGATGGCACATCTCCAACATGACATTCAAGCTCCTTGGTCTCATCACCCACAAAATAGTAGCTGCCTTTTGCTGCATACTCAATCACCCAGCCCCTGCAAACCCTCATGAATGTCCTTCTCTTTCCCTCTTGGAATACATGCCTCAAACCCTCATGAATGTCCTTCTCAATCCCTCCTAGAATGCATGCCAGCCCATGCAAACCCTCATGAATTTCCTTCTCAATCCCTCTTGGAATACATGTCTGCCCATGCAAACCCTCATGAATGTCCTTCTCAATCCCTCTTGGAATACATGCCTGCCCATGCAACCCCTCATGAATGTCCTTCTCAATCCCTCTTGGAATACATGCCAGCCCATGCAAACCCTCATGAATGTCCTTCTCAATCCCTCCTAGAATGCATGCCAGCCCATGCAAACCCTCATGAATTTCCTTCTCAATCCCTCTTGGAATACATGCCTGCCCATGCAAACCCTCATGAATGTCCTTCGCAATCCCTCCTGAAATGCATGCCAGCCCCTCATGAATGTCCTTCTCAATCCCTCCTGGAATACATGCCTGCCCACGCAAACCCTCATGAAATGCATGCAAAAGTTCTTGGCTCAATACTACTTTAGAATTGGCCCAATTCTAAACTAGTATTCCCCCAAAGCAAAATAAGAAAAAACAACATGCCCAATACTACTTTTGAATTGGCCCAATTCTAAAGTAGTATTCGAAAACCAAAAAACTGAGCCCAATACTAAACTCCTTTAAACAAGGCCCGACCCTGAAAATTCTCCCCTAATCTTTATTTATGGTCATTCAGGGGGGGGGGGCCCTATTTATTAATCATAGGTCAACATTACTTAGAGGCCGCCGCAAGCTATTTGCGGTCGGGAACCTCTGCCTGCTAATGCATAAGCAAACTGGGCACCGCGCCTCACAAAAACCCTTAAACTTGGGATATTGCCCGCAAGTTATGGGGTGAATTCCCTTTTTGCGGGTAGTTTGCAGGGCTGTGTTTTGAAGAATCCCCCCTATTCAACCAGGGGTTCACTGATCCCGGGTGGCCATGATCCTCCAATTTCGGGTTCATAATCAGGACAGGCCACATAGGTTTTCTCTCCCCTCTCACAACCCAGCCGCCAAGTGACTCCGGTAGAACATGGAGCGATTTTTAGTGGTGAGCCTGCCAAACAAGAAAGGATTTGCAGGAATCGAAAGAGAAGGGCCCCTCACGCCACAGCTTGTCGAAAAATATGAGGGCGTCCGAAATTGCGAGCCATGCCCATATGTCTAGTTCTTGCCCTGGCCGTTTTTTTTTTGGAGGGGGGGATTCCCTGTTTCCTGCTTTGACACATACCCATTTACATCCAGGCCTACATGTGTGGGTCATCAACCCCATTCTTTTGGGGAAGGTACCATACTGTGGATGGAAGAAATCCTGCCCCACCTAAGAAACTCTAAAAAATCGATTCCGGGTAAATACCTTCAAACTGTGGTTTCGGCCATGGTTTCAAAGTGGTGCAGGATTCGTCCCTCCACAGTAATGTTGACCCAGGATTAATACACCCGTCGTGTTTCCTCCAAAAGTGATGAATCCCCACTAAAAGGGGACACCCCCCTATGAATCAACCAGGGGTTCTGCTTAATCCGGGGTTAACATTATCTTTCTGGGATGAGGGAGGTTCCCCCTTTGAGGCAAGTCCATCTTCAGCGGTTCGCCGAGTCTCCTCCATGGAAGCGCCGCTCCGGGCGGTCATCAGGACCTCGCGCAGGGGCGAAAAAGAGACAGCCTGAAAGAGTGCACTGGAACTCAGTTACCTGGAAATGAAAGGTGAAGGGACAAAGAGGGAGCCATGGAAGCCGCCACTGGAAGGGCCAAGAAAGTGCGTGAGCTGACTGGATTTGACGGAGAAAGAGGGGGCGGAAACTGGAAGTCAGGGAATCTGTGCTTGGGTAGGTTGGATTTGAAGGGCAATCCCAAACAACGAAACAAGCGGCTGGCGCAGTGTTGCAATGTCAAAATGTTGCCTACGGGCGGACCCCAACTCGGCGAAGTGGCACCCACACACCGAACGCATTGCAAGGACAATAACCACGACGGAAATCTGGGAGCAGAAAACAAATCATTGATGGAGCAACACCGACCATGGGAAGAACAAAAGAGGGCGCATGTTTGTTTCGCCAACTCCCCTGCACTGCAATCACCCCAGCTTCTGAATGCGGATGGTTGGCCTCTAAACTCTAAATAGAACCCCCCCCCGGAGAAAATCTTTGGGAGAAAGGGGGCCCCAACTGACCCCTGGGCTCAGAATCTTCCATTTGCCCAGGAGTCCCCCGGAAAAAATGGTGAAAATCCAATGTCCGGTAGTGATTTTGGTTCCCTTGAAAACCAACTGGGTTGGGACATATGAGAAGCAAATTGCAGCTTCTAAATGGTCCCTGCAAGGTCGTCCCTCACGAACAAACTCTCCATTTGCATAAGTCCCCTCGAAAAGATGGGACAAAACTTTACCCATGGTGATAGTTTCACTTTAAAGCCAAGGAAACTTAACACATACTGTGGATGGTTGCAAAAGTCATTTCGCACCACCTTTGAACCCCTGGTTTATTTACCGCTTCCCCAATGCAAATACCAACAAACCTTATGGCTTCAGTCCCATAGTTTGGTCATTAACCGTGGTGCGAGACTCGGATTTCGGACTTTGCGAAACCATCCACTGTATGGCCGTGGCTCAAGCAAGTTTACCAAAATCTTGGTAAATAAACATGAAAAAATGGTTCAAACCCGCGTCACCCTTTAATTTTGAGCCACACCCGTACGGGTATGAATTTTGATAAGGGACCCAATCAATCACTTAGGTGGCTCCCACCCTTAAAAGTCCTGGCCGTACTACGTCTGAAATGCAAAGGGAAAAACACCGGTCCACGCAAAACACAAGAGAATCCGAATGGTCCCTGGGCAAAAGAAACAAAAGAATGGCTCAAACCTGCGTCACCCTCCTTCACCCTTCAATTTACTTCTCAGCCACAACCGTTCTGCACACAAAGGAAGCCAACCTCCGGTCCGTCTCTAACTCCAGTCCCCTCGGCCCCGGATTTCTTCCCTCGGCCTCCGCAGCCTTGGCCAGGAACTCCCGGGCCACCCCGGCGCCCCGGCCCCTGACCAATTTGCGGATTGGATCGGATCGCTCGGGGAACCCTTCCGGAGCTTTTCCCCTGAAGAAAGAAACGCGTGGAATGGGCGGAAGGGTCGGCCCAAAACGTTTTTTTGTTTTGTTTTGTTAATATTTCTTCGGGCCAAACACGGTTTTTGAGATTTTGGGTCAGAAGGGGTGACGGTCCCCGACCAGCAAAAGGGCGCCCTCTTTGCCCCAAACGATGCATTGGAGCTCAGGGGTTCGTGCCCAAACCTCGGCCTCTTGGTTCCACATAGGCCAAGAAGAAACCAAATGCTCGACAAATAGCTCGAAGACACTCCTAGCCAAAAGCAGGAAACAGACCAGGTCTGGCCTGTGTGAAACGTTCGGTGTCACAAAGGCACAAAATCATGTTTTTTCCTTTTGGCTTCCCAGGGCACCCTGAGAAACCGCGCACACAGACCCATTGCAGCCGGCTGACAAAAGCGCTGGTTGCTGCCCCGCTCAATCAGACCAGCAGCGATCAGCTCGCACGGGCTACTCTGCGCAGCGGACACTTGCGCTTTCTCTCGCTGCATGGCTGGGCGATAGTGTCTCGATTCTCCCAGTACCGGCATGTGGCCTCTTCTGCGTCGTAGCGGCATGTGGCCTCATCTGCGTCGTCGAGGGTCGAGTCCTCTGTCACCACCTCGTGATTCTGTGATTCTCAACATGGCATCCTGGCGCATCCTTTCGGATCGCAAGTGCGCTTGGCGGTCGGAAGGTGGATACTGTCGATGGACGCGAAATCCGCGAGGAAACCGTTGAATGAATGAAGCCAGAACCTTTGTTACGGTATCGTAGGCGAATCGAATCAGAAACCATTGGGTGAAAAGGTCCAGAATGTCCAGATTCTTGATTGCTCATCTCTGTTTGGGCCCCTTCTTGCTGTTTGAAACCGCTTTTACCGGCTCTGAGGAGGGCCCCGGCTGGATTACACCATGCAACCACCTCCCTGCTTCCCTTTCAATCGGGTGTCTTCTTGCGAGGGGATCGGTTCCCTTCAAAAAACCGCAACCCCGCCCCCCCCCCCAAAAAAAAAAAAAACACCTTCAAAACAACCCCACCACCCCCTAACAAACCCCGAAAGCCGAACGGCGAAAGCCGAACGGCGAAAACGCACGCGCTTGCGGCGAAAACGCGCTTGATCGCGCGCCTCTCCCGCACGAAATGGGCCACCAACAAACGGCCCTTGGCTGCCAGCAACCCGGTGACCGCCGCCACACGCAGCTTCCGCGCCGGGGATCGAGGCACCGCGCAATGCCTCGCTCGTTTTGTCTGCGCGAGAATGCGAGGCACGGGCCCTAATAAGGGGGTGGCTCGTCTTTTCTGGAGGGTGCCCCGTTTTTTTGGTGGGTATTAAGGAGAGACCAAAAGGACAACTGAAGCGAGTTTGGGGGGGGGGCCTAAAAAAGGAGACACCCGAATGCCAATCTCATGCTCGATGGGCTACAGTTTGCACACATGTGGGTGGCTCGTCTTTTCTAGGAGAACCCCGGAAACAATGGTGTCTCCTAGTTGTCATTTAAACCAACCCCAGAAAGGGGACCCTCAAAGAACAGGCCCAGTCGGAGATCTCGCAAATAAGCCAAGCTTTGGGCTTCCATGTGCTAGCTGATACTCGCGATACGGACGTCTCCCAGCCCGTGTTGAGGGCACATGTCCGGAGGTTTCAACCTAGGGGGCCCAAAACCAAAGTGGGGCAAAATGGTTTTCGCAACCATCCACAGCCCCGACTCCAAATACCCACGCTTACTTTTTTCTTTGGGGGGGGGGGGGTATCATGTCGACCCTCTGCTAAAAAAGGAGGTATTTACCTTGAAAAACCAGGTTTCCAAAAAAATACAGTAGAAAAAGTGGTTATTTGGAGTAGGGGGCACTATGTCATTTTAGCACGCGAGTGGGGAGGTCACCCGCGCTGGAAAGAATGTGCAGCCGGGCGAAGCGCTGGCTCCGCCCAACCCAACCAATCTGGTGGGTAAAGCGGCTGAGTGAGAAAAAAACACTGATTTAGCCAGGGTCACTCGGAGAACCAGAAAAGCCCGAGAAAATTACAATTTTCTCCTTAAGTGGATGGCATCCACAAAAAGTTCGGGGACTGTTTGATGACAGTCCAAGAACTCTGCGAGTTTCTTCCAAACGAATCACTTTCTGCACGAACGAGGTCTCAGAACCATATATATGTTACCTATTGGAAAAAGCACAAAACCCATCTAAACCAGTGGCTTGTCCATGTGGCGGTGTTTCAAAATAGAAGACCCCTTGTTGGGTGGTATTCAAGGAAACCAAAAGGAAGCCTACGTGAAGAATTCCCCAATTCTGAGCAACACCCACATCTGTTTCGGACCAAACCGATCAAAAGGAGACATACTTCCATTTGCGTCTGCGCCCACTGGACAAACACTGTGAAAATATGTCCAGTAGTGAAATTGATTCCCTTTTAAAACCAGGGAAATCAAACAACTTGTCGTTTCAGCAAACGGAAAAGCCTATCTTCGAGGAAAACACGAAGCACATGGGTCGCAGTCCTCCGAATCTGGGGCGCCACGCAACGGCTTGGACCTGGCTCGAGTCCATTGGTTTGGAGCCGGAGCCGAATCGGTGGTTTGGTGGTTAAGGAGGGGCTTTCCATTTACCCTCTACCAGAACCAACCAACCGACCAACCAGCCAGCCAGCCAGCCAACCAACCAACCAGCCAGCCAGCCAACCAACCAGCCAACCAACCAACCAACCAACCAGGGGACCAGCCCTAGGAAAAGACCAGCCCAAGGAAAAAACGGATCCCTACAAGAACCAGGGCTTCAAATCCAAATCTAAACAACCAAGCCATCCAATTGCCGCTGTCCATTGCTGAAGCCCTCATCATGAAAACGAACAGAATTGCGCATGTGGATTGAGATCCTAAGCCAGATGAGTTGAAAGAGATCCCCTGCCGGAGAATGAAGGAAGCTACCCAAGTTTCACGCCATGTAAAGAATTCAAACGACAAGTTTGCGACCCCAACTAGGGCAAACATTGCTGCCCTGTTTGTTAATTGGCGGATGTGGAACATCCTGCAAACTTCACAACAAGCACATTACAAGAATTCCTGGCCCCACACCACATCCACAAAACGAAGAGGATTCCTGTGCTTACCAACATGTAACATATTGTGTCGACGGGGGCGGGTCACTTGCAAGAGACACAGTTGCACACATATGCGTTGTAGCAGCGCTTTTGTGGAACGCCTGCTCTGCACTTCATTTGCACGTATCATACACCCTATGCATGTGAATATGGTTCTCTCCAAACATCCTAAGTCGTCAGAACTGGGCAGCTCAACCGGGAGCGATGCATGCTCCAAGCCGAGGGGTTGTATACAGGCCGAAGCCATGGGTTGGATGATACTACTGTACTCAGTGATGCATCGCAAAGGACTTGGAAGGTGCAACATGGCTCCTTTTCCCTTGAAACAAAAACATGCACTTCCGAGCGAGTGTGTTCTGCTCAAAAGCACAATTTATCTAATATATATATATATATATATCTAGGTTGTTTGCTCACCACTAAAATGGCGACCAAACCCAAAAAGTGACTCGAGCGAGTTTCGGGACTCAGCGGGAAAACCCACAGTTGGCTACCTTTCGCCAACAAACCAAAGGAACGAACCGCTCACGTCTCACCAGAAGTAACCATAAAAAAGAGGAAGAACAAAAATATGCCCTGGTAAATGGATAGCATAAAACCCATCTAAACCTGTGGCTTGCCAATCTATTCCCCCGAACCTCGCCTCAAAACCCGACGCTCAAACCCGACTCGATCCGAATCGATCCGGTTCCACCTAATGCTTCGTTCCTTTTGGTTTCCCTCCGCCACGAAAAACGGGGGTACCCCCAAGCAAACCCAGGTCCCCCCCAAAAACAAATGGCCAAAGGAGCACGCACATCTCTCCCGAAACTCGCAGCAAACGCCGACGAACCCGACGCGACCCGCCGCACCCGACGCGATCCGATCCGAATCGATCGCCTCGATCACCTACCCCAAAATACCCCCCCCCCCACCCCCAAAGAAGCCGAAGGATCGCAACCCCACCTAGAGATGAGCTCGTCCAGGTCCGCATCCAGGCAGCGCTGGCGGAAGGAGGGCGGCACCAGACTGCCGTGGGCCAGGAACGCCGTGAAGCCCGGGCCCACCTGCGACGCTTCAACTCACGGGTTCGGCTCACGGTGCCACGGGTTCAACTCACCGTTGAAACCTGGAGTCTCCTTCCGGCACTTCAGCCGCTGACGGCTCGGTTCCTCACCGGGTTCCTGAGGGTTCCTCACTTAAACCTGGAGTCTCCGCCGCTGACACTTTAAAAATAGGTTCATGAACCCATTATTTAGGGTAAGGACCAACCATTTTTTAAGGGTCCTTGGAGACTCCAGGAAGGGGCGGTCGTATTTTGTACGTCAGGTAAGTGGGTGGTAGCCATGGTAGGCTTACGAAGCACTTACTAAGTACCCGATCGCCCCTTTAAGCACCGAAATCCCTGAGGTGGGTCTCGGTGGGATTTCCTGTTTGGCCTAAAGGCGGTTCTCTTCGGGCAGCATTTGGGCTCGAAACTCGCGGCTGGCCTCGCAGAATCTCGCAGAGACAATGAGAGGACAATCCCCCTACACTCCCTCACATTAACAGAAGGAAGCTCCCCCAATTGGCCTCTGTAAACAGAAACAAGTCTTCCAAAGCGGTCGCTTTGGAGAATCCATGTTAGCTTGGGGGAGCCACAGGAAGGAAACTTGCTTCGCCTTTCGGGCAGTGACAAGTGCTTAAGAGAGCAAGTTACAGTTACAAGTCAATAGTGATATGCGTTGTTGGGAGCTGTTAAGCGACACCGTCCGGAAAGCATCCATATTCGGCCTGCAGTGTTGCTCATAAGGATATCAATGGCTGGAAAACCCTCAATGGCTGGTAGACATCCCTTATGTCCAGGTCTGCGACCAGACGGGAGGGATCGTGCCCGTTTTTTCGGGCTCCGACATCACCAAATGGTTTGCCACCAGTTGACAGTTGACAACAGGCGACGTTTAGCTGCTAACTGATTTTGAGGGTTCTAAAGGGGAACCAAGAGCCCTCCACTTTGGGGGATCCCATAAACTACTTCAACTTCTGAGCCCTCACCATGGGAATTGATTGACGTAGTTGGTGGTCATGTCCCATTGGGTTGGGTCCGTCGCCCGTAAACTCCCCAAAAAGGAAGACTGACAGTAACAGGAGTATCTAAATGTTCATAACTTGGTGGACATCATTACGTTAGGATTTCTGTCCGCAGACAACTCTTGAGGTTTTCCTGCGGAGTTGACGTGTACCTGTCCTGTTTGTTCGAACATGGTGGCTTTTGTGTTGACGGCATCCTCAGGGCCCTTATAAATCCCCCGACGAAAAAAAAACATCACCCTAGGAGGAAACTGACAATTGGTCCAAACTGTGATGTTTAACCTGGAATAAACAATTGGGGGTTGGGGGATTATAATATTTATTTATTTTTTATTTATTTACGTGTATATATATATATAAACACCTGCTTCCCGGGTTCGTTTCGGGAAAATCAAATTTGCCCCCCCCCCCCCCCCAAATTCAGCTGGGTCTACACCTTAAGTTTAAGATTTTTGCGGAGGAAACCCATGTAAAACAATAATAATAATCAATAATAATAATCAATAATAATAATAAATAATAATAATCAATAATAATAATCAATAATAATAATGATGCTTATAAACAAAAAAACAATGCCTCCCCCCATAGGTGAGCCATCTATTTTCCACCAAAACAACAAGGACACCTGTGGCTCCCCCCGCCCCCGGCAGATGTTGCAAGTTGATCAACCACCGATGTCGAATTCACCAAACAAGAACTGGTTGACCTGCAAAAACAAAAGTGGGGTGGGAATTCACAAAAACTGGTTTAGCTGCAAAAGTTGGGGCGTCCCAAACCTTCACTTTCCGTCCCTCTCCAGTTGCTTGAGTCCCTTGGGCAAAAATGGACAACTATTCCATCAGTGCTAGATTCCCCTCAAACCAAGCAAACATAGGACATACCCTGAAACACCCACATTTCCAGCGGGATAAAAATCACCGTTTTGATCGAAGGGGACGCGCTTACGCCTGGAACTTGTCTTTCAGCACCAGCTGCTCCGGGGCAGCGCTTCCCGCTCCGGTCTTCCAGCGAAGCCAATCTGCCTGACTCAGCTTTTTCTTTCAACGGACTCCAAGACAAGTCACTCGTGTTTCTGTGTGTTCTCCTTCTCTCTTTCTCATTCTCTCCTTCTCTCTTTGCCTCTCTCTCTCTCTCAAACATATTCTTCTCGGAGTCTGTCTCTGTGTGTGTGTTTCTACGTCTCTCTGCACGTCTGCGTGCATTTGTGTCCCTGTCTGTAAAGGTTTTCTCCCCAAAAGCACCCACAGGAAATTGCGCTTTAGGGGAACCCTGCCACCGCATTTTGGGATCCATTGCTTCCTTTGAAGGCCACAAGAGGTCCATCTTGAGAATCCATGTGATCCCCAAAATGATGTGATTGTTTTACGAGTTGTCCTTTAAAACGACCCCCACAAATGGTAGCCTCACCACCCCATGTCTCAGTTCCCCAAACGTTACCAGAAATACAAGGTTCACCCTTTGGGACCTTGACTCAACATGGGCCAAAACTCCAAACGGGCAACTGGGATATATATGGGTATGTCCTTTTTGAGGCTACCCCTTTTTGGATGGTTTTTAATAAAGGGAAACCGAAAGGAACACCGAGATCTATTTTGTGGGTGTAGCCGTCTCGACTCTTAGGCTTGTCATTTTTAGTCGGTTTCGTGGTTTGGCTCACGTAACCCACAGGTTGAAATCTTTTAACAGATATCAGAAAAAGGACAGAGGTGCGGTGGCAAGTTGCTTTGATTGGGGGAACGGCTCTGTTTTGAGGGTACCCGTGGTTTGGCTGGTTAGGCACTTGCCCAAAGGACCTGGAAATGAAAGGTGAACCTTTAAGGGAATGCACACATATAGACGTCTAAACATGGGAAACCAAAAGGCCATATCGGGTCGATTCGCTTTCAAGTGAATCGAGATCTCCTAGACAATGACACACCCACATCTTCATGCGGAAGGAAAACCAAGATCCATTTTCCGGGGTTTGCAACACACAAAAAACACGCACATCTTCAGAGAGCACCTTCCACCCCCCCCCTTTCCCCACCCCCCCCCCCTTTCCCCGCCCCCGCCCCCTTTTCCGCCGAACCGTCCGCCGGAACCGTCCCGTGGGCCGCCTGGGCGTCGCACTTGTCGATGCCGCCCAGCACGAAGTCGCTCTCAGGCACCCGGCATCCCCGTCTCGTCAGCTCACCGAAGCGCTGCTCCTAGCGCCGTCGGCGCTTGGGGGGACATGGCGACCTGGAGCCTCTGGGTTTCACTTAGCTGATCGATTTTTCCTGGACCCTCAAGATACCAGCGTTAAAGCGGGCGATTGTAAGATCAAATGATTGTTGGTGAAGTCCATTCCTGTTTTGTGGGTAGTTTGAGGGTATAGGTACAACTCTTGGTGTCAAAAAAAGAGTTTTTTAAACAGCACCCCAGCAAAAATCAACAGAACCAAAAAAACACTTGCCGAGAACAGTGAAGATAAGGTCGGTCTTTTTTGGAGGGATACCAGATCTTTTGCGGGGTGTTGAAGGGAAACCAAAAGGAGAACCGTCGCGCCATCTTGGAGGGGCGCCCTACAAAAAGACCAGCCACCCACATGAGGATTGAAAGAAGCAGGGTATGAAGTTGAATTAGGGACCCTTCGGTGGGCATCAAAAAGAAGAAAATTCCCATCCATGCTGTCGGGAGCACTCGAAGCGGACCAGGAGAAACGTGATTGATGTGTCCAGAAGACATCCATTTGGGGTTGATCAATCCGCTCGGCCCCAAAACGACCATATACCCAACTGTTCCCACGTGGCGAAAGTCATATCTTTGGCGGTTCTAACCAAGGGTCATCCCATGTTCATCGGAGCTTTTGAGATCAACCCCCATGTGATGTGCTGTGTTTCTTGTTTTGGGGTACGTACCTTGTGGGGTTGCTAAGGGAAGCCAAAGGAAAGCAGAGCGTTCAATCCAGTTCGAGCGGCGAGGTGATTCACCTCACCCCTTCAGGACGCAAACCTGCCTCACGAGGGCCGCTAAGGTGTTCCTCTTGGTTCCCTCTAGAACCGACACAAAGAGGGCAAAGCTCCCGCCCCCCACCCCCCCAAAAAAAAAAACAAAGAAAGAAGAAAACAAAAGAGGACAAGACTCATTTGTCCAAACTCAGATGGGGCTGGACAGATCTCTCGCACCAGTGGTTCCCAACGAAGGTCAAAGCCCATGTGATGTGGGCTTGTCTCAAAATAGGGACCCCCCCTAATTAACAAAAACAAAAACATGGAATGGTGGTTGTCCTTTTGCTTCCCCTTGATGAACCACCCCAAACCTCGGGTTCCCTCCAAAAACCCACGAGCAGCCCATGTGGACCGACCGCCGACATCTCTCCTGCGCGGGCAGCTGGTTCGCGCAGCGCAGGAGCTGCAGCAGGCCCAGCAGATGCCTCGCTCGCGAACGCGCAAGCGAATACGTCCGCAACGGCTTCTCGGGAGGTCCGGAAGGAAGGTTGGGGTTGGACAAAACAACTCCCTGGACCCTCAAAATACCAACTTGAAAATGGTTTGTAGCAACCTAAATTGATGAGGGAATTCCCTTTTCTTTATGGGTTGGAGAAAAACTATATGTCCCTACCAGGACCCTCCCAGGGTTGTCAATTGATACCTAAATGTTTGGATTGGTGGTTTGGTGGTCAAGGGGTGGTTTCAACGACTCCAAACCACAAACCAGGGGTTCCCTGACGAAAACCATCACCAATGTGGATGCTTGCAAAACCCAAACGACGCATGAGTTACCCGCAGTTACCACTAAAATGGAACCTGACTGAGGGGTCCTTATTTTCCTTTGAAGGGACCTGAGGGTTCCATGTTCGACAGGAGGGTAGCATGTGTAAGCTTCTGGGTTTGGTTCACAGGGCTCGAAGCGGCTTTTCGGGTCGAAGCCGAAGCCAAGGCTCAGCTTGGGCCGCCTTAGCCAAACAGCAGCCTGAAAGTTTGGTTCGACAGGCAAGGACTGAGAACTGGAAATGACGCAAAAAAGGAAGAAGAGAAAAAAAACAACATCTATGCTTTCCCTTAAGGGAATCCCCCAAACCGGTTCATTCAACCACCACCCTGGGTCATTGCGCACCAGCAAATCGTTCTCTAGAATCGTTCGGCTGCCTGTTGGTCTGAAGAAAGACCGGAAAAGAAGAAGAAGAAACAAACCACACGATCAGTCAACGGCTGGTCTGATGAAAACAGGTCGCGTTCATAGGCGTCCTGTTTTGGACAAATCTCAATGGGTTCCCCGGTAAATGAATGGCATAAAACCAATGTCTAAACCAGTGAAACCCATTTATTTTTAATCAAACTACCCGATCAAAAGGACACCTATGCCAATGAACTGCTTTTGGTTTCCCTTCACCACTACAAAGGGGTATCCCACCCTCCCTCCCCCCCCAAAAAAAACAGACAACTGTGCCTCACGTGCTTAAAAACTGCAAAAATAGAACGAACATAAAATACAATAGAGTCAACATGACACCCTCGTGGGGGGAGGGGGGGGAGGGGGGAGGGGGCGCCCGTTCGTCGCGAGCTGCCAGAAGTCCACGTCCGCCGCCACATCCATGTCCGTGGCATCCTCGCAGCGGTCTAGCCGTCGACTGAGCTCAACTGGACCTAATGGGAACCCCGGATTTCATAAACCCCAGTGTCGTTGTTGTTTATTGTTTGGGGCGGGTGCTTGGATTTTTTTGGGGAGGGGGAGGGGGGTGTCTCTGGTTTAGTGGGGATTCAGCGCTATTGGAGGGGAACATCCCCCCTTCAAAAGAGGACGGGTTTTTTATTCCGGGGTCAACATTACCACTCTTGTTGGTCAAGATTCTTGACACTTCACCTGGCACTGAAACCCTGAAAAAAAATCCAATGACTTGCAAGAGTGAAGTCGCCTGAGCTCAGTTTTGACATGCCCTTCCTGGGCCAAGCCAGAGGTACCGACCATGGACCCATGGTCCATAGTCAATCCTGAAGCTAGCAACACGGAAACGAACAAACCCCAAGCGATGTGCAAAGAATGATGCTGGCTCCATGTTCTGTGAGTTGGGTACCCTCTCTTCTGTTTGTGTTCTTTCATCGGGAAACCACCTCCTTTGTGGTGTTAACGGGAAACAAAAGGACAACCTCAATTTTCGTGGATCCCCTTTAAAAAGACGAGCCATTATATATATATATATATATATGTAAATATATATATATATATATGTGTCTGTGCGTGTGTTCAACCGGCTTCTCATGAAGCTTTGTAACTTGAGACTCAAGTCCCATAGTCCCGCCTAAGGCAGCAATCTCCGAAGAGCCTAAGCAATTGAAATGGTATTTTGCACTACAACCAATATTATGTACGGAGACAAGAATGTGGCTTGTGTCGCACTACCGACGTCGTGATACTGTGGATGGTTGCGAAAACCATTTCGCACCACCTAAGAAACCCTGGAATGACGATTACGAAAATGCCAAACGTTGTGGTTTCAACCATCGTTTCCTTTCGTGGTGCAGGTTACGTCCCTCCACAGTAGGACAGTCTGTGTGTCATCAATTCACCGCCCCTTGCATCGTAACACCGCGCCTGAATGTGCACCACCTTTGCATCAGCCACATCCACCACAGCACGCACCAAGTCCTGGAACAGGCAGAAAAAGGGCTTGCCTGCGTTCCACGTGGGTGTGTCATTTTTACTGGAACCCCTTTTTGGTTGGTTCTAAAGGAAAACCAAAAGGAAAACCACCATGTTGCTTGAACCCTTGCCCTCAGTTGCAAGGGAGAGCCAGCAAATTGAAGACCGCAATTCCATGTTCGAGGGTCCCCGAAAAGGATGGCATACCGCATCATGTTGACCCCGGAATAATAAACCGTTGTTTATTAGAATGGGGATGTTCCACTCCAAAAGTGATGAATCCCCACTAAAACCAGGTTGACACCCCCATAATAACAAACAGGGGTTTATTCATCTGGGGTCAACAACAGGGATCCTTACATTATACACCTGAACATTGCCTTGTAAATGGTGGGTTTCCCTTTGTTTTGGTGTTGAAAAAGCCATGTTTCAAATGGTTGCAAAATGTATCTTTTAAGGAGCGCCGAACAACCCCCAACTCCCAAAAGGGACGAGAAAAAATGGGACCTCGGTGAGCTGCCCCCCAACCTGCAACCTGTTAAGACCCGAGTGCGAAGACTTCACAAGGTCTTTCTGCGCAAGTGAATCGGGAGGCATCCGTGGAAACAGCTCACGAATCATTGCAGCCAAAGAGCTGCAAACGTACTCAAGGCGTCATATCATGTTTCTCTCCAGGCATAGTTGAAGCACCAGCTACTCTCCTTCAGATTAAGATGGAACAAAAAAGGGGGTCCCCAAAAGGAGCTTCCTCTGCAAACAGTTTTTTGTTGGGTTCTATGTCAATCTGTAGGGGAGTAGGTTCCTCTCCCGAGAGAAAAAAAAAAAAAAAAACGTGCCAAGCGCGTGACCGTGCGCAGCTTTTGGAGCGAATTTTGACGGGGTCGTCCTGGAACATCTGCAGAGGCCACTCGAAGGCGAGGATTTCCACGAAGGCCTGGACGACGAGAACCACAAGAACTAGAGCTGAAAAAGTGAGACGAAGAAGCAAAAAGAAGAACCGAAGAAGGACAAAAACTAACACGACCTGAACCACAACCACCACCGCCGCTGCCACCCCCACCACCCCACCACCTCCACCACCCCACCCCACCACCTCCACCACCCCACCCCACCACCTCCACCACAACCACCACCACCACCACCACCACCACCACCACCACCACCACCACCACCACCACCACCACCACCACCACCACCACCACCACCACCACCACCACCACCACCACCACCACCACCACCACCACCACCACCACCACCACCACCACCACCACCACCACCACCACCACCACCACCACCCATAAGAAGCACCACCACCACCACTTCCACCACTACCACCACCACCACCTCCGCCACTACCACCACCACCCACAAGAAGCACCACCACCGAAAGAAGGCAAACAGGAAGAACAAGCAGAAGAAGAAGAAGAAGAGACGAAGCAGAGACCAGGCTCGTCGGCGCTGCTTGTCATTCTCAATCTATACACATTGTGAATCTTCGAAACAAGCATGCTCTGCCTGACCAGTCATCCTGGTTGACCGTGTACAACACATGGAGCGATGTCTCTCAAATGGTAGTATGCAAAGGACCGACCTTTCCTCCTTTCCTTAAACAAGCTAGTCTCCGAGACTGAATCGGAAACGCCGCTGGTGGGATCCAAATGGATGTCCCTACGAAGCCATTGCCACGACTGGTTATAACCCACTTACCATGGTCATAAGTCTCCTAAGTGGGTTATAACCATGGTTGCTAGCCACTTGCTAAGATCCAATCTTGGGGATATGAACAAGGCCGGCTCAAGCCCTTTTGACCCTCCATTTGAAAAACGAGTGTCCGCTTGCTTTCGATCCCCGTGCTCCGGCGATGCGAGCCCAAATCCTGGGCAGCCCTCGCTTGATCAAAGAGTCCAAGTAAGACGGTTACAAACATGTGGTGAGACCAAATCGGGCAATAGCCAAAAAGATACACGAATCACACGAACACACTCGGCATCAGGCATAAAATGAGCAGAAAAGCCCGGCTCCATTTGCAGTTCACAGTCTTCAACAGGACCAGTTGGAAAGCTTGACCCGGCTTCTGGTTGATTTCCCCATCTTCCTGAGTGGATTGGCCAGAACAAGTCCGAACCTTTTCTTCACCACTATGGTCCAAACCCGAAATGTGACTAAACTCCGCGGAACTCAAAATTTGTGAGGTGACCCCAATCCTTGACTCAAGTCCGAAACGGAACTCGGGAAGCTTCACTTTTAGTGGGCAGAAAATTGGACACCCCCACAAAAGCGCTAAGACCTAAGAAACCAAAAAGCTCAGGAACCGGAGGTAGCCGGTCGCCCACCCAGCACACCGCGCCAGGCGCGCTCCGGCCCCCCGCCCCCGGGCCCCAAACCGCGCCTGGCGCGCTGCCTGGGGCGCCGCCAGCAGCGCCCGCGCGCCGCGCGCCAAAAACTCGGCGGCCCAGAGGGCGCGCCGGAGGTCGCCTCGAGTGGGCGGCAGCGAGCCGCAGGGCTGGAGTCAGCGGTGGCTGGGCCCTGGACGTTCAAACTGCCCATAGAGAAAGGGGGATGAGTTCCCAGAGTTTTAGGGCAATCACCAATTTTTGGGGAACTCATCCCAGAATTTAGGAAAAATCACCATTTTTCTTGCGGGTATGTGGAGGGGTCAGCGACCGCTTCATTGGTTGAGTTTGGAGCTTGGCTTGGAATTTGAAGCCCGATTGACTTGGGCATGGGTTTCAGTTTCCCTCCAATTGGTGGTTTCGGTTTGGAAAAGAACTAGGGGTAGCTGGAGAGTCAGCTTCCCTCCAATTGGTGGTTTAAATCCCCAAACAACCAATCCAAACCACCAATTGGCGGGACGCTGATTCAGAGCCCCCTTAATTAATTGGTGGTTTGGATTGGATTGGGATTTCAACCCCAGTTCCTTTCCTTTCCAAACCAAATAAATTGGGAAGGTACCCCCTAACGTCCACCACCAATTCGAGATAAGGTGAGAGGTTGGATTGTTTTCATCTGCGTCTGCGTCCAGAACTCTTCAGCTCTCTGATTTGGGCCTCATTGTCAGCTTAAACAATATATGTGTTAAAATCAAAATACATAGATACATTAATGAATAAGGAATAACAGACAACACCCAGACACATCACCCCATGAAACACACCTCCAATTGTCTGTAGTCAAATCCCCAAAAGGATGTTGTTGGGAGGCGTGGTCGGGGTGAACCCTCTGGTTCCCCGATAAACGCCGACCTGAAAAGGGCACCCTCAAGAAACTCACGCACAGTGTGGAAGACAAGTCTCCCCCAAAAGAAGGCTGAGTAAAGGAAGTCCAACACCTGGAAGGTACACACACACACACATGGCGGTGTTTGTTTTTGTAGCTAGACCCAAACTGGACATCAGTCGGGGGATTCAGCCAACCACCTACCACTTTGGAGGTGGTTCCACGTAAACTTCATCTTGCGCTTGGCGATCCGCTCCCCAAAAGCTCACGCCGACGGCTTCAGGTTCCCTTTAGTTGGCTTGGAGCCGAATCGGCGGTTTGGAGGCTCGGGGGCTGGCTTGGCAAGCTGTCAATCACCTGGGAATCCGGATCTTCACTCCCAAAGGCACGTGGAACTCGTGGAGCTGGTTTGTCACCCCCAACAAGGCCCCTTCTTTCTACCGTGGTCACTGGCAGAGCTTGGAAAAGCCCCAGAAGGGCTCATTCTTAGTGGTTCTACCTGGTTTCATGGGGCTACCCCAACCAATTTGGTAGAACCCACAGTCAATGGGTGAACCCTGCGCTGCTCAACTGGGCTCAGGCATCTAGGAGGAAGACGCGCGCGCGGCTTTCGAGTGCACGGCTGAAAGCGGCGCCGTTCGATTCGATTGGATTTCATCCATTCCAACCTTCCATTTGCTGAAGTTGTTACATGTGTTTCTCGATTTTTCTCTGCTTGGTCTTGTTGCGGGAAACGATTTCACCACTGGCTACTTTATCATCGATCCTTTTATTTCAGACCAGTAAAAATGAACAGAACCAAAAACAAGAACAAAAGAACCAACAAAAACTCCTTTTTTTTTTAAGATGCGAAGAACAGGTCCTCCTTCCTTTTTCGCTTCGGGCCGCCTGAGCGACCCGCCACCGAAGCCGAGCGCAAAATTGGCGCTCGATCGCTGGATCGATCCAAGGTGCGGCCCTCGAAGAGCTGCTGCAGGCGCTCGTGGCAGCGCACGCAGAAGTCCACCTGAGGCGAACCCCCCGTCCCCTTTCGGTTGCTGGGGCCACAAGAAAAGCCAAAAGCAACAAACATGTTTTTTTTCTTTGTTTTTTTTTTTTTTTTTTCCGGGTATATCCACCTGGACCCTGGACCCCGGAGCAAAAACCCAGAACCATGCTTCAAGAACTAGAAAGGCGGCCGCGACTCATGCTGGGTCTTTCCGTTGCTAACCTTCACTTACCCGGTTTTTGATTGTGACTCACCTGAGGCCCCCCCCGTTGCGGTTGCTCGGGCCACGAGCAAAGCCAAAAACACCAAACATGGGGCTGTGGCTCAAAAACAAGGTACCACAATGGAACCCTGGCAAGTGGAAACATGGACAAAACCTGCATATCCCCTCCTGTTTAATTCTGACCCACAGCCATGTGTATTTCTTGTGTGGGTATGTCCACCTGGACCCTGGAGCAATACCAACTTAAAAATGGGGTAGACCGAGACCAGACCGTAGAAATTTCCTGCTTGGGCTACGAACTGGGCAACGAACCCCCAACGGGGGGAATTTCTCCTGGGTTGGGTGCTGCGAATTGGGCGAAGCACCAACAAGTACCTAGAGTCTCCTTCTGACCCTGTAAAATTGGTTGGTCATTACCCTAAATCATGGGGTCATGGCCCTGTTTTTAAAGGGTCATGGAAATATATAGGGACCTGCTCAAAGGTTTGGGGAAGGAACTTGGGGGACTTTGAGACTTCGGGGATTCCCCGGCCTCGCAGCCCTCGGCGCAGGCGAACCAGCTCTGCTCCTGAGGCTATGCGCGACTTCGCGCTGTGAGTATTTCGTGTGTGGCGTCGAAGTACTGGAGCTGTTCATTTTACTGGGCACCTGGACTAGGTCCTCCAGTAGAGAGGGTACCCTTTTTCTGTAGTCTATTTTAGTAGGGGAACCCTCCCCGAAAAAAGGGGTGAGAATGGGCACTACTGGGGACCTGGACCCTCGTTAAATTACCAACTTAAAAATGGTTTCTTGCAATCTAAAACTATGGGGGTATTTCTGGTTTTTGTTTGGTAGTAGCAATTTGAGGGTGCAGGTAGGGGTGCAAGCCAACCAGCCAGCCAGTCAGGCAGCCAGCCAGCCAGCCAGCCAACCAACCAACCAACCAACTAACCAACCCAGCCCTAGCAGCAAAAAGCTTTCCAAAACGGTTGCTTCGAATTATCCTATGGATGTCAAGGGCAGATTCCCCAATAGCCGAGGGGTAACCATAGTAAGGAAATAAAACCGCTTCACGGGAAATAAAACCGAGGACCAGCCGGCACCATGAAAAGGCATTAAGGATATAGGCATATCCAGCAAGAAAATACAAAACAAACATGAGAAATAAAAAGATACGACGGACCGGACGGACTGGACGGATGGAGTGGATGAGCCGCATGAGCTGGGCGGACTGGACGGACTGGACGGACCGGACTGGACGGACCGGACTGGGCGGACCGACCGGACGGACCGCGGACGGGACGGACCGCGGACCGGGATTCACCGGACCGGACTGGACGGAGCGCGCGGACGGGAGCGGGGCCCCTGAGAATCGTTCGTAATACTGTGGATGGACGAAATCCTGCAACAAACAATGAAACCCCATATATACCTGGAGTCTCCATGACCCTTTAAAAATGGGGTCATTACCTTAAATAATTGGGTCATGCACTTATTTTTAAAGGGTCATGGAGACTCTAGGTAGTGGGATAAACCGCCTATCAACTGCTACGGAATGTCGTCCAGCCACATGGGTGCGGTTTTTGATGAAACCCCACAAATGGCTCCGGTTGTCCTTAGGCTCAATTGAATCTGCTAAAAGGGGGACCCCTTAAAACAAAAAAAGAAAAAGAAAAAAAAACTCGTCTCCGTAAGAATTGAAGAGGGAAGCATTGTTGCAAGATAGTCAAACCTCGACTTCTCAAAAGGAGAAGTGGAGGAAGGGCGCCTTCCTCCAATCATGGAAGTGGACCAGGGGCTGCCCCAAGCAGGAAGTTAGTCTTCAAAACCCGCCTGTCCCATGTCCACATCAAATACACTTCTCATGGCCAAAGCATGGCCCAAACCAGCCCCACCCGGCTCCGGGTGTCTTGGAGCCGCTCCTCGATGGAGCGGTCGCAGTTGTCGCAGGCCCGGTTCGTCTGAAAGGCCAGGCCCGAGATCGTGAGGCAGCACCTTTGGCCGAATCTCTGCGCATCGCAATCGCGAGTGACCGAAGATTCGGCCGATTCGGCCCCTGGCCTCTAAAAATATGCGGTCCAATTGGATGGTTTAGCTCGGGGTCATTTGCACATCCCTACTGAGCAGAAGCAAGCCCAGTGAGTTCATTTTGACCCATGCCATCGCCGTTGAAAGAGCTTTGCGAGATACAGTCGACGAAGAAAACCTTCCGTTTGCGGATAGCCCTCTAGACAGAACTGAGGCAAATGTGTCCAAGAGTGATGGATCCCCTTTAACACCAACAGGGGAGAAAAATACCAAACGTTCTTCAACAAAACGAAGCTTCTCTAACCCCATGATTTCACCGCTATCAAAGTCACGCAAGTGGCTTCAAGGGAAACCCCCCTTCGATAAGCCCCGGAAACTGTCGAAACCATGACACCAGTGGTAATTAAAGGGAAACCCATGACCAAAATGTCTGCCCTGGTTTTTATCATGATGTTTGTGTGTGTACGGTGGTATCCAACGTGCGGTGCTGCGTTCACGTTTGCATGGCCTCCCTGCAAACTTCCAGCCGCAACTCGTAACAAAGCACAACTCATCCAAATTTACACACACCTCCCCAAAACAGTCGCAAGGCTGTGAACAAAGTCCATTGGCTTCATAGACAAAGGCCCTGAGGCTTCAAAATTAATCCAACGACAATCGAACCCAGCCATAATCCACTCATGAGTCATAAACCGACCTTTGACCTAACCCCGGATTCACCAACCACCACGTTATTGTTTTGTCTATTTTGTTTGCTTGCTTTTTTTCCCGGGGGGGAGGGGGGGTGGTGGGCTGCCAAAAGTGTGAAGGGTCCCAGTGTTGTACGGCACGTCCACGGGCTTCTTCACCCGTTGCGCCCAATGCCGCCGCCAAATTTTGGTCCGATCCATAAGCCTCCAGCGGCTGGCCCCAAGCGCGAGCCAAGCGGAGAAACAAGTCTAGGTCCTCCAGTAGAGAGGTTAAAGGGTACCAACTTTTTTCTGTCCATTTTAGTAGGGGAACCCTCCCCCCAAAAAAGTTGGTAAAAGGGCACTACTGGGGGACCTAGAAGTGAAACGGACCCGGTAGCGCTGATGGAAATTCGACACGCCCGGAGGTGCCGTGCCAAAGCCATGGTCACCTTTTTGTCAGCTGCCTCACCTTGGGGCTCTGAAGCTCATCGGTAAACCGAACCGCGCGGCTTCCATCAGCTTTCATTATCTGAGGATGGCATATATCGCTGGCACTGGCAGGAGTCTGCAATGGTGATTCCCACTTGGACAGCTTCAAAGGCAAGATAACAAAACAAAAAAACTACGCCACTCCGACCCTGTTCGACTCTGAGAACTCATTGGACTCAATGGACATGGGCCTTTTCTAAACCAAAAAAGCGCCCCAAGAGCTACCAGCAGCCAGATCCCCTCCGCTTGAAAATGGCTGCGGGCCAATTGCCGGCCTGGGGATGCCTAGTTTTGCCGGGATAAGAAAGATGTTGTTCCCCAAGACCATGGGCCATAATCCCAGCAAATGGGGATCCTGGCAGGGGGCCATAATGATCCCTTGGGTCCTGGGATGAATCCAACAGACCACGGATCATAATCCAAATCGTACCCCCAGCAAGCATCCCAATCCCCACTACAAATAGGTTCTAAAACGGGTGCACCTGCCCCAGAATGCTACATTCGTTTGACTCCACAGCCAACAGACTTCCGGAGTTGCCTGGCGACAAGGGACATCTGGTCTCTGACTCAGCATGTAAGACAACAGACATGTGGCAGTTGATGTCATTGGGCGGTCATTGTGTCCTTGGCGCTGGGTTCCCGAATAGCCATACATCCATTGAAGTTCTTGCTCCAAACTAACGGTCGTCGATTTCAAAAGCCCAAACCCCATCTCACTCCCAAATCCCCAAACTCATCTCAAGTTGTCCACTCCATTTTACCAGTCTGCCAGCCTTCCCGGAAAGACGAAAAGGCGAGCGACGCTCATCGCACGCGCGCGGCGCCGTTTTCCGGACCAAAGACTTCCACTATCCCAGGCCCGGTGGGCGGCGGGCCATCCAAAAGAGCGATCGCCGCGGGGCTGAGTCGACTCAGACTCGAAAGGAGGAAGGAGTCTAACGTCGCACCTGGTTTAATACTGGTGCCCCGAACTATGTCAAGGTTCCTCGGCTTCACCCCCCCCCAACTGTTTCGGTGCCAGGATTTATGTCAAGTTGCTTTTGCCGACAAAAAACATCCGGGCAAAAAAGCGGGCCAAACAAATCGGGCAAAAACAGACCGGGCAAACAAGTCAGGGAAAACATTAGCAATGCCTTTTTTGAAGTGGTGCCCAAACAATCACATTCAAGATAACTCATGGGAGCCAGTGATCCTGCTTAATATGATTGTTTAGGGGTCTTGGTTAATTTTCTTAACCAAATACTGGGAATCTAAAAGTAAGTCCTGGCAATACTAAATTTAGACTAGGCAGTACTAAACCAAGTACTGGGAATCTGAGAGTAAGTCCTGGCAATACTAGATTTAGACCAGGCAATACTAAATAAACTAAGTTCTGGCAGTCCAACAGGAAGTGCAAGCAAGACAAAACTAAGTATTGGCAGTGCTCAAGCAATACTTAGGCATCCAAGCTCCCTTGCCAGACCTATATAAGGACCGCGGAGCACTGCTTTGACTGTTCTGGGGACGGGGGAACATTAAACAAGATGCAACATTACCTAGGTCCTCCAGTAGAGAGGTTCGATTAAGGGTACCCTTTCTTCTGTAGTCTCTTTTAATAGGGGAACCCTCCCCAAAAACGAAACGGCAAAAGGGCACTACTGGGGAACCCAGTTCCCCTGATTGTTCCCTACCAAGAGCTGTAGCTTGCCCAGCCCCCGCGTTTTTCGGCTTTTCCGAAGGCCCGCCCTTTGCTGGACACTGCAACCATCGTTTGAAAATCGCAACACATCATCACAAGAATGAGAACCAATCATCGCCGCCTGCGCCTGGCGAAGGGTGCGACTCTGGAGGCGGACACTGACAATTGTGACATGGGCGAACCTTTCGAGCACCAAACGACACCCAGTTTGGGTGTCTAAGGGACCTCCATATTTGACACCCAGTCCTGCACCTTCCACAGAGCAGAATTGCAGTGGCGCCAAAGCCCAACAAAACATAAGAACACCTGCCATGGGTCCACGCCGACTTGGCGGTTTCTGGTACTGGGGGGGGGTCGGGAAGGGCCGGGGGGGGTGGAACCTACCTTTCGGGGTGGTGAAAGAAGAAACCTTCCTTTTTCGCGGCCCGGAGTTCATGAGCACTCTGCTTGCCTGTCTTCGACTGCAAGCAGATGCTGTGTTCTACAGGTCCCCAGTTTAGGGGTGTGAATCTAGGTGTGTGAGCTTGGGATGCCAAAGACATAGCTGCATGTCAACATGTTAACATGGGTGTGTCATTTTTTAGGGGACCCCAAAAATTGTGGGTGTCCTTTTGGCTTCCCTTCAAACCACAGCTAAACTCAAGACAAGACACCCCCGCATGGGATTGACCTTCTGGGAAGAGGAAGTTTGAAGGGGGAGGGTCTATTAATCCTTGGGGTCAAACGCCCATTGAAAGCATTAAAAGCATGATCTTAGGACCGAATTTGGATGAGAATCCTCAACGGTAAACAATGGTGGTTACAACACAATGCATATGCTGTCTACCAGACGCTTGGCACCCGGCAGCCTTTAAAAAACAGGTGCTTATATGAACCCAACCCATTGTATAGACCTGAACCCAAAGGAACCCAAAACCCCTCGTCTCGCACGATCCCTCCGGGACCGATTCCCGGCCTTCAGCGTAACCTAGCCATGAGAGAAACTTCGGACATCACTTGGGTTGGAAGGAACCACCGCATCGGCGGTGATTCTGCCCGAGGGCTTCAACGTTGGGTCTCCCAAAAAAGGGGGGAAACGGTTCTTTTGCCCATCGTCCCCGTACAAAACATATTATCCTAAGGCGCGGACAGTTGTTCATCTGGCCCCCCTCCACCCCCGGCAAAAAGAATAAACATGACATAAATGCGCTCACGCGCGCACACACACACACACTGCTCATTCTCTGCCTTCGCATATCACACGTCTTGTGCCACAAATCTGCGCGGAGTTTTGACACACACACACACACCCTCACGCACGCACACACAGACACAGACACAGACACAGACACACAGACACACAGACACACAGACACACAGACACACAGACACACAGACACAGAGACACAGAGACACAGAGACACAGAGACACAAAGACACAGAGACACAGAGACACAGAGACACAGAGACACAGAGACACAGAGACACAGAGACACAGAGACACAGAGAGACACAGAGACACAGAGAGACACACACAGACACACACAGACACACACAGACACACAGAGACACACAGAGACACACAGAGACACACAGAGACACACAGAGACACACAGAGACACACAGAGACACACAGAGACACACAGAGACACACAGACACACAGAGACACACAGAGACACACAGAGACACACAGAGACACACAGAGACACACAGAGACACACAGAGACACACAGAGACACACAGAGACACACAGAGACACACAGAGACACACAGAGACACACAGAGACACACAGAGACACACAGAGACACACAGAGACACACAGAGAGACACACAGAGACACACAGAGAGACACACAGAGACACACAGACACACAGACACAGACAAAGACACACACACACACAAACACACCAACGTAAAATAAAGAGCGTGGTTTTCCGAAATCAAGATTTCGTTCCGAACCACCGCTCCAAACTCCCCGCGCAACCGAGTAACTAACCCAAGCGAGGCGACTGCCCCTCGCAACCCGAGCGCCAAAAGACCCGCGGGGCGATTTGATTGAGGCCCCGGCAGGCAGCACTCGGACTCCCGAGCCTTGTACCACACCTCCCCGTCGCTCCACCGGATCACCGGCGACCCGCCTCGCCGGCACCGCGACCACCCGGTTGATGGAGGGAGGCAGAAGGATGCGAGGGAAACAAAGAACCACGGCGCGGGGGGGGGGGGGGGGTGGTCCAGGAAAAAAGAAAGAGCCAGGTGCTTGATGTAAGATTCATTTCTCAAAAGAAGGAACTGGGCTTCAGATTTTGAGGAATTGGTTTGGAGACTGGGAGACTGCTGGTTTGGCAGTTAGTGCATGTGCCCTCAACAAGAACCAAAAACCGGATCAAATCCCCAAGTGCTTTGGAGGGGGTGCGGGAGTTACTGGACTTCCCCCGAATCACAACCTCCATTGAAACGATCACCACTTTGAACGTTCCGAAACGGGAAACAGAAGAAACCTTGGCGTAGGCGAGGGAAAACAACAACACAAAAGCAGGTGGTGCTGGGTAAAGAGCAGCCCGGAATATCTAGTGATTCCAGTTAGCTGTATAGCAGGCAACCAAGGGCTTGCCAGCCTTTCACATCGGACATTGGCGAAGGGTTGCCAACTGTAGTTCTAGGGGTTGATTCCTTGCCCATTCTTTCCAACCATCGTTCTTTTCGAAGATCAGCCGTTTTCCCGGGGTTTCTGGATCATGGAGGTTTGCTAGAAAGAAGGATCCCCTGAAAGAATGGGGGAGGTACCCCTAGAATAGTGGCAACGGGGGATCCGCTGGGCAAAGTTAACAGGTCAACAAAAAGCAAGCTGGGGCTGGAAACAAACCTTCCCCCAAAGGCAGGGCCAAACGCAAGAGATCCCCGTTGCGGCCAAAACTTGGCCTTGCTCTTGAAAGCAACAACAAATGAAAAGTACAGGTTCCTGACAAGTGAGTCCTAATCAAAACCCGGTACTGAAGTGGTCGACCCAGAACCATGTAAAGAATTAAGAAGGCGGCCGCAGCTATTTATGGTTGGGATTGTCCCTTACTAACCTTCATCTACCTGGGTTTTGATTGTGGCTCAAGTGGGAGTCTGAACCTCAATGAAGCAAGGCTTGAAGACCATCCCAGACAACCCGAGTTGCAGCTTAGGCTAAGGCTCTGAATAGGCTTCCTTTAAACGAAGGTGGGCTTCCAAACCAGGCTTGTGACCTTTCATATGCGTAAATTTCTTTGGGTCCCCGACAATGAGGTGGCAACCCCTTTTCCTGTGCCGACGCTTGGCTGCACCAACGGAAGTCAGAGCACCGTTACCCACAATTGTCAGCCTGCAAGAGAACCCATCGCCGCTAGTTTCACAGATTCGCCATGAACAGCGCCGAACTGAGCAAGCCAAGCTTCATCCAGAGTACCCAAGTCCCATGGCCGAACTGCGCTTCCTTTGGTGCGGCTCGATCAAATCCCGGACTTGGACTCCTGAAATGGAAGGCTTCCTTTGCCCTTCAAGACCAGGGCCCCGAACGCAAAAAGTGCTCCACTTGTGAGTCCAATTCGGAAAATCCGAGCTGTTTCAACCTTCAAAGGTTGAAAGGCCAAAGATCCGTTGCCGAGTCATACTGAAGTGCACACGAAACTTCGGCGAGAGAAACCCAACGTGCGCCTGACATCGCTATGGTGCCGTGGAAGGTCTTGCCGTGCAAGACCATCATCACGCCTTTGCCTCAGATTGACTTGGGCGCTTGCAACTCCTGAGCCGCCCCCCCTCCCCCCCGTTTTTTGCCACCTCCGAATAGAGGCGCGTACAGGTGGCGCAATGGTTGTCTCGATAATTTCCCTTTAAGCCTACCCCAAAAAGCGTGGCATCACCAAAAGATGGGACGTGGCACGCGGGCCACTGACTTCTTCGTCCCTTGCATAGGAATCATGAGCCAACACACACCTCCCGGCGACTTGCTAAGGTTTCTCAGGTCGGATCTGAAGATGCCTGAAAAATTGCAAGCTACGGAGTCGTCAATTTGGAGTCTACGAATTTGCACAGCAGCTGCAAAAGAGCCGATGGATGAACATCTCGGCGGCGTCTTTTTGGGAAGTGCCCTTTTTGGATCCGTGTCCAGCAGAACCAAAACGAAACCCTGCAGGTGTCTGTTGTTTGTTTTTGCTGCTGTTGTTTTTTGGGGGGAGGGCTATTTTATTGCACAAATGTATAGGGCCTCGTATTCAGCACCAAGCTTTTCGAGCATTTATAAATCCACTGTGGGGATTTGTGCATGCAAGAAAGCACTTCTGCTCTAACTTTTCTACCTCCGCAATCAATCCAGGAGCGAAACCAACTATTGCACAACATATATGATGATGTTGATACAGCATCTAGTTGGGTCCAAAACGCCTCGAATATTGTATGTCCAGGCTGACAATCCCTTGAAGAGCTGCTACACAGTTAGGCAATGCTTGGATTGCTATGTTGGATTTCGGGAACGCAAGGCAGCCGAATCGATGCCGCAGTGCAACTTGTGGAACTTCTGGATGTGTCCAAATATAAAGATCAAAGGGATTTCCACAGTTGGATGGTTCAAATGAAAATTTGCCGGAAGCCAATCATCGGTGGATCCTGCATGCAGGACACTCCGCGACAGAAACATCTTGCCATTTGCATGTCTGGACCTGGCTCGGGACATAAAACACGGGAACATTGCCGATCAGGTGGGGATGCCTTCCTGCTACCCAAAGCTGACCACGTTCCAGGAACAAGTAATGCACCCCCAAAAAATATCCTTGCGGTTTTGGGGAAAACCTGCCCCACACAACCCAAAAAGGGTTCTTGGAGGTCTTAGATGGCCCCCCCTCGCCACATCCGACCAAGGCGCCAAGGGTTTGCAGTGGGCACGGGTCTGACACCTCGTAGCTGCTATCCCAAACCTCGAGCAGACAAGCAGCGACAAACGTGCTCCTTGCACCCCTGGACACGTCAACTGTCCATTCCCGAACAAGACACGTGCTTTCTGTTGGGAATTGCCTGAGATGTAACAGCCGTGCCCACACACACACAGACAAGAACACAATTGAGTGGTAATACACGCTTTGCACGCCGCACGCCGCATGCCGCACGCCGCAGGCGCCGCACGCCCGCCCGCACACTCATAAGCACACACACACACACACGCGCGTACGGAGCTTCAATCGAGCGACGTCATAATTCGCAGCCTGACTCCCACTAACATGGCACCTAACAGGAGTGACACTGATGCCGTGTTTGTGTGCGCACAAGTTGGTGCAGTCCATCTGTATGTGTTCAAGATCTTAATGAGGTCGAGTATATCAACCAAGTAAGCAGACTCAAACCTCACTCCGATGTTCTGCTTGCATCTCATGATGCATGACCCGAACAAATCCCACAGTACAGCAAGCTCAAAAAAAAACAAACCCTGCTCGAAACAGAAAAGACCTGCCAACTGCCTTGGTGCTTTTTGGCTGTGCAAATCCTTCTCGGGATATCAGCTGCGCAGTCGGGAGGACACGAAAAAGGATGGCTGACCTGCTGCTAGGGACTTGATTCGGTTGAGAGGAATTGATCTGATAGCCTATTAGTAAGTTTGATCCATTTTTTATTTGGTTTTGAATTTAGTAGAAGCTAATGCACATTTTACAGTAATTACAGTTTGCCCACGCTTCGCACTGCAAAGAAGGAACGGCCCTCCCATCAAACTTGCGTGCCGAAACATCAGCTTCTGATGATACATTGCCCGGACAAAATTCCGGGTCCTCGTTGAAAGCGCATAACAACCACTCAGCGGCTTGAGCCACGTCGCGTGGGGCGACCCAAGCAGTCCCGCAGTAACCCAAAATTGATCAAGAAAACACCATGTCACCCTTTGCCTCTTTTTCCCGATGCATTGCAGAAGCGAATCCCCTCGAAATCACAGCGGTGATCTGCAAAGAACCAAGACCGGCCTGCCGCAAACACTTGCAAGATTTGCCTTCCCCTTGCACCTACCTCAAGGAACCCTAGGCTTGAGGGCCTAATTCATGGCAAAACTAAACAAAACACCGCTTCCTTGGTTGTGCAACGACCCCTCTGCAAAGAGTTGTTCAACTTGTGGCTTTAATACGGAAAAAAAACATGGATTTCAACCGAAAAGTTAGAAAGTCTAAAGATCCGTTACCCCAATAGCAGCCCGGTTTCTCCTTCTCGGGGCCCAGCCAGCGTCTTGCCCTGGATGAAGCCCACGGGTGTGCCATCGGGCAGCAGCCGCCAGTGGCCCTGGAGATTCCAGGTTTTTGGGAAGAGCCCCAGGCAAGTCGAGGCCGAAGCACCAGAATTGAGGGCCACACCCCCCCCCTCCTGATTAACACTTCCCCCAATTTGGGGATGATTGTGGATCAAGGGGGTGTTTATTGCTCGAACAATCGTTGGAAGTGTCCTTTTTGTGGAAACCTTCCCACTTGGTTTGGATGACTCACAGCCCAGGACCAGCACCTCACACAGAGACGAGCGAGCCAACCAGTGCTTCAAGAGTCCACGTTGGCGAACCCAGCCTCCGTAGCCCCACCCGCATCGCCCACCCGCAAGGGGACCTTAAAAAATTTGCCTGCCAGGAAATAGTCAGGGGCAGGACCTTGCACCTTTCGTACGTGATAAGAGGCAATGTGTTCTTCACTTGCAAACTCACATGATTCAGCAAAAGCCGTGTTTACGGTGCAAAAGCCGGGTTGGCAATGCCGTGGTTTTCCTGCTGTCTCCGAAAAACCGACCAAGAGCTTGGGCTTTCCCAACAAAAAACGACATGCGCCCCCCGAATTTTGTTTGCCCCTCACCGCGTCCCGGCTTATGGAGTGTCTTGTTTGAGGGAATCCTTTTTGGCGTGGTTTTAACCGGGAAAACCAGGGGCTCCCTACTCACTTCTCACTTCTCGAGCGGATGGCAACAAATCCAAACCTTCCGTTTACCTTTAGATTGTCCGGGAACTTAAGAGGTGAGAAAAAAAAAGAATCCACCCACGATCCAAAAACGTGGAGAAAGAGTCTCCTCCAGGTTGTTGGAGATTTGCAGGAGCTCGAGAACGCGCTGGTCGTGGCCCAGGTCCCTCAGAGCATCTTGCTTGCATCACTAAAAGGGGGGCGGGGGCGGGGGGCGGCAGCGAGCCGAGTAGGGATCCACAGTGCACTATCCCCCTAGCCAAGGTAATTACAGACTTCAAAGCTTGCTTCTTTTCGTTCTTGCCTCAAGCTCTCTCAATCTGCCCCGTGACCCTCGACACCAGGAGGGACAATGTCACCGCAGCCATTTTTGGCTCAAAGTACAGTTTTGGTTTTCAAAGTGTAGCTTTCTTGATGTGTCCGGAACTAGATGTCACCGTCACCATCGTCATTTTGGCTCAAGGTGCAAACCAAGCCTGCTCAGCTAGCCTTCATTGCTGTTGCTTTTTGTCTTGCTCCCTATAGCTCCCTCAATCTGTCAAGGCACAGATCAGGCCTTGGCTTCACAGCCAAAATTGCCGCTGCTTTTTGCTGTCGTTGAGCACTGGGGCTACCTCTTGCTGCAGCTACAAGGTACAGATCAGGCCTTGGCTCAGCCGGCCTCTTTTCGTAAATTGCTGCAGATCAGGCCTTGGCTTCACAGCCGACTTCTTTCGTAAATTGCTGCTGTTTTGTTGGTTGCGTTCCTCCTTGCAGCGCGGCCATTTTTGCTCAAGGTACAGATCAGCCTTTTCATAAATTGCTGCTGCTTTTTGTAGTCTTCCTCCTTGCAGCGTGCTGAGCTCTTGCTGGAGCTAGATTTCACCGTAGCATTTTGGCTCCACGCCACTGGGCTACCTCTTGCTTGGGCTACAGCTCTTGCTGGGGCTAGATGCCACCGTAGCCATTTTATAAAACTCAAGGTACAGATCAAGCCTTGGAACCACAGCTGGCCTCTTTTCGTAAATTCCTCAACTTTATAGCCGGCCTCTTTTCATAAATTGCTGCTGCGTTTTGTTCTCCTTGCAGCGCGCTGGGGCTACCTCTTGCTGGAGCTAGATTTCACCGTAGCCTTTTTGGCGCAAGGTACAGATCAGGCCTTGCCTTCCCAGCCTGCCTCTTTTCGTAAATCGCTGCTGCTATTTGCGATCTTCCTCCTGCAGCGCATTGGGCTCTTGCTGGAACTAGATGTCACCGTAGCGCTACCTCTTGCTGGAGCTAGATGACACCGTAGCCATTTTGGCTCAAGGTACAGAGCTTCACAGCCGGCCTCTTTTCGGCAAATTGCTGCTGCTTTTTGTTGTCTTCCTTGCAGCGCACTGGGGCTACCTCTTGCTGGAGCTAGATGTCACCGTAGCCATTTTGGCTCAAGGTACAGATCAGGCCTTGGCTTTGCTGCCGGCCTCTTTTCGGCAAATTGCTGCTGCTTGTTGTTGTCTTCTTCCTTGCAGCGCGCTGGGGCTACCTGCTGGAGCTAGATGTCACCATAGCCATTTTGGCTCAAGGTGCAGATCAGGCCTTGGCTTTGCTGCCTCTTTTCGGCAAATTGCTGCTGCTGTTTGTTGTCTTCTTCCTTGCAGCGCACTGGGGCTACCTCTTGCTGGAGCTAGATGTCACTGTAGCCATTTTGGCTCAAGGTACAGACAGGCCTTGTCTTTGCTGCCGGCCTCTTTTCTGCAAATTGCTGCTGCTTTTTGTTGTCTTCTTCCTTGCAACGCACTGGGGCTACCTTTTGCTGGAGCTAGATGTCACCATAGCCATTTTGGCTCAAGGTACAGATCAGGCCTTGGCTTTGCTGTCGGCCTCTTTCTGGCAAATTGCTGCTGCTTGTTGTTGTCTTCTTCCTTGCAGCGCACTAGACCCTACCTCTTGCTGGAGCTAGATATCACCGTAGCCATTTTGGCTCAAGGTACAGAACAGGCCTTGGCTTTGCTGCCTCTTTTCTGCAATTGCTGCTGCTATTTGCGATCTTCCTCCTGCAGCGCATTGGGTGGGCTCTTGCTGGACTTAGATGTCACCGTAGCGCAACCTCTTGCTGGAGCGAGATGTCACCGTAGCCATTTTGGCTCAAGGTACAGAGCTTCACAGCCGGCCTCTTTTCGGCAAATTGCTGCTGCTTTTTATTGTCTTCCTTGCAGCGCACTGGGGCTACCTCTTACTGGAGCTAGATGTCACCGTAGCCATTTTGGCTCAAGGTACAGATCAGGCCTTGGCTTTGCTGCCGGCCTCCTTTCGGCAAATTGCTGCTTTTTGTTGTCTTCTTCCTTGCAGCGCACTGGGGCTACCTCTTGCTGGAGCTAGATGTCACCGTAGCCATTTTGGCTCAAGGTACAGATCAGGCCTTGGCTTTGCTGCCAGCCTCTTTTCGGCAAATTGCTGGCCTCTTATTGCTGCTGCTTTTGTGGTCTTCTTCCTTGCAGCGCACTGGGGCTACCTCTTGCTGGAGCTAGATGTCACCGTAGCCATTTTGGCTCAAGGTACAGATCCGGCCTTGGCCTTGCTGCCGGCCTCTTTTCGGCAAATTGCTGCTGCTTTTTGTTGTCTTCTTCCTTGCAGCGCACTGGGGCTACCTCTTGCTGGAGCTAGATGTCACCGTAGCAATTTTGGCTCAAGGTACAGAACAGGCCTTGGCTTTGCTGCCGGCCTCTTTTCGGCAAATTGCTGCTGCTTTTTGTTGTCTTCTTCCTTGCAGCGCACTGGGGCTACCTCTTGCT